TGGTGTTGTTGTAAAGGCTTGTTTAAGTGTATCAAAACAATTTGACAATCTTTGGTCCATTTAAAAGGAGTATATTTTGTTCATAACCTATTTAAGGGCGATGCAATTTTTGAAATTTCCGACAAAAAAATTTGCCAATCCGAGAAAACTTCGGATATCATGCTGATTTTGTGGCAATAGAATGGATTGAATCGCTTCAACTTCTGAATGCGCCACTTTTATTCCATCTGCAGATATTATATGACCCAGATATGTGACCTCTGGTTTTTCAAATGAACACTTTTTGGGTTTTAAAGTCAAGTTTGCTTGTTTTAAACGTTCAAAAATCAAATTAAGATGTTTCAAATGATTTTCAAAATTATCTGACCATACAATAATATCCTCGATTTAAACCAAACAATGTTTCCACGTAAGACCTTTTAGAACCATATTCATGCGCATCTGAAAAGTTGCTGGGGCACTGACAAGACCAAAAGGCATTCTTTTGAATTGATATAAATTATCACGCGTAATGAACGCAGTTTTGTGTTTTGTACTTTTATCTAACGCGACATGCCTAAAGCCAGAAGTCAAATGCAAAGTAGAAAATATGTTTGCTTGATTTTGTCCAATCGCAATAAAAGCATCTACCAACCACACTGATGGAAACGTTTGAACGGGATTTATAGCGTTTAATTTGCGATAGTCAATCGCAAATCTGTATTCATTATTTGGTTTTTTAACTAACGCGAGGTTACGCAAAAGAAGACGTACTCTCTCGTCAATTATGTCATGTTTGAGCATTTCATTAATTTGTTTTTCAATTTCTGATTTAGCCTTTGGGGACGCACGATATGGCTGGGATCGAATGGGTTTATCATCTTCAGTGACAATTGAATAACGAAACACATTACACTTGCCCAGTTCTGATAAATTGTTTGCAAAGACATCACTGTTTTTATCTATAAATATTTGAAAAATGTCCTTCTTTTTCTCAGATAGAACAGAAGATGATAAATCCAGAAATACAGATTTTTAGGTCATTTTGAGGTCATTTTCGCGTTTTGTTGATCCAAAGAAAATATATTCTCGTCATCAACGGGATTCATCGATGCTATGATTGTTCCAGCCGAAATATTTATTTGCTCATTTGAAGTATTCGTGACCTGCATAAAAACTTGTCTGGGTTTATTTATAACCACACATTGTTTCATAAAATCAGTTCCCAGAATGACCGAATGGCACAATGCGTCAATAATATAAAAAGTATGACTTTAACTGAGACCTCCTATCTTTATTTGTAAGTCAATTTTTCCATTTACCGGATGTGACAATCCCCCTGCCCCGGTTATATTGGATATTTCTGAAACCTTAATTTTCTTTTTCTGAGTTTTCAGTTTGCTCACAACCTGTGAATTGATAGCAAAAATAGAGGATCTGGTATCTAGAAGAGCATTGAATTTGAAATGCTGAATGTATACAGGGACATAACATTTGTCTGCAAAACTGATCAAAGCCTCTACTGCTGCACTCTTTTGCGTGCCTTTATTTTTTTTTTACAGTAAATCTGTTATTTGTTTGTTTATTTTTCTTTTTCTCAGAGCCGCGAACCCTCGTTTGCGCTTCCGTATTTGTCTTCATGCTCTTGAAAAATGACTTATTTTTTGACACTTTTGACACAGAACATTTCTAGCTGGACACCTAGTTCTGCCCATGCACATTCCCAAACAAAAAATACATGCAGGGAAATCCATGCGGTGCATTGGCAAATAAGTAGAATTATTAGTACCTTTAATCCGCATATTAGTAAACCTATGTTGTCGTACCCCGATATTGTTTTTGCTGTCGAGTTTGTAGTGCATCTTGTCCGTTGCGTTTGGGCATCGTTGTGTAGTTTTGTGGCTTGGGTAGAAATGTCTGCACGAATGGTTGTTGTTGTTGTGCATATTGTGGTTGCTCATAATATTTCTCAAGAACATTTTTGATATCAGAATTAACTTTTCTTTTCTCAATTTTATCTTTAACATTCTTGAACTCTGCCAACAGATTTTTCAAAGTGTTAATTTGACATGATTTTGATTTTTCTGCCAACAGTGCAATTTGCCTTAATTTATCCATCGTTTGAGAATTGTGTGTTGCTACAAAAGGTTTAATATCATCTATTAATCCGTTCATAGCAACAGACAATATAACATTTTCCGGGATATGTTTAATTGAAGCAGTTTTGATAAGTCTTGTTAATAATTTTCTACAGATTCGGTAACATTTTGTCTAATTTGCAGCACAGACAAATATAAACAATTTTGAAACTCTCTGAATCTTTCCTGAAACAAAGTTTTTATAGTATCTGAGTTTGACTTTTGTTCAAAAGATGAAGAATCATACCAAACTTTTGTATGGCTTTCTAAATGGAAGGGAAACGCATCAACAATCTTGTTATTAGATAAATCATACAATCGTGCCCATTGAAAAAAAAATGACAACCACAGAACAATATTTTGACTGCCATCACCTTTAAATTTTTTCAAGTTTTATAAGATTGGACATATTTGAAAGTAAAAAAATTAAAGATCTACCTGTCCTATTTGATTTTTAAATGTCTTTTGATTAAAAATATCCGTTCCTGAATGAAGAAGAATTTCCTGAATGTGTTGGACATCTCCTCTTACCAACCCTGAACCATAGCAATTGTCCAATACAAATAAGAGTTTGTGTTCCCAGCCACAAGAAGACGGAACGGTTTTGAGCCCACGCATTTAGCACGAGAGTATAGTTTGTGCGGCCTATATAGTTCGAACCGAGATCGAAACTGGCTTTTCTATGTTCTGCAGCTAGAAACCTGATCTATGACAGCCCCTGGAATTGATACAAGTTCATCTGCTCAACAAAGGAAACGCTATTATAACGCATTGTCTTTATCACGCGTTGTAAATCCTCGTTAATTTTTTTAAGTACTCCACTGCAACTGTTTTGTAGGTGTTTGTGACATTGGTTTTATTTTGTTTTAACTGTGGTTCTCAACAGTCAAGATTCCCTCCATTTAATGTAAGAGCCCCATTTCTCCACCAATTTTCATATAAATAAAAAGTTCTTTTTCGGAAATATAAAAGTTCGTTGTTTGGGATATTTTGCTACTTGTTTTGGGGTTTTTATATAATTACTCTTGGATCAACCCGCGTATAAAAAGAAATTTTGTCTATATACTCGGCACCTACGGCCGTTGAGGAGTGGGAGCTCTTTTCGTTCCAGCACCTTCTGCGACAGGGGACCTCGCTTTATACGGTCTCCTCCAACGACTGGTCTCCACATCCCATAATTGGATTTGAAACGGAAGATAACATCAACTCCTTTCTTCGCGACACTAGACCAGATGCTCTAACCAGTGCACCTCTCGGACGACCTTACACGAAATTGATGAAAGTAAAACTATAGGATTAAAATTAATAACCCTCCGATTTATACTGTATACAACTGTATACAAAGTTTGAACAGATAAAGTATTTTTTGTACACAGCTTTGGTTAGTTATAAAGCGTAATCGACCCCAACCCAGCCTATACCTATAAATTGAGTAATTGTTAAATTTATACCTTAAATAAAACATTTATTTATTCAAAAGAACCTTTTTTAGAAAAAAGAAAAAGGACACGTCAGCCACATTTATATCTAAGATCTTCTAGTTATGGTTGAATGATATTATTTTTTTATTTAGAAATCGAAATGCGTGATGCAGAGAATCATCAAAGTTTATTACATGTATTCTGTATAGTCCCTGAATTGTACTTTTTTTTTCTAGAATTCAAAGGTTCCCTATCGTAGTCATTAGATGATAAAATCTGGGATTTTTCTAGAAATCTATAAATTTTACAATTTATTTTAGATTTGCATGAAAAAGAGATCATACGATGTGAAAAAGAGGATAAGGTTTACAGTGAAAGCCACAGTTTCCTTGCAATGTTCGATAAAGTCCGAAAACAACCTTACATGACTTTTGTTGGTGGACCAGGATCCGGAAAATCGGCAACAATTCATCACATTGCCTTGATACTCCAGAAGGAAGGATGCGAGGTTGTTTCAATTAAAGATATCAGGAAGATCGATGTATATTCTAACTCTCGTCATCCACAAGTATTTATTATTGATGATGTGGTAGGTGTGCATGGTCTTCAGAAACAAAAGTTAGAGTTATTGATAGATTATGAGAAAAGAATTTCAGATCCCTCCCATAGAAATACAAAAGTACTAATGTCATGTCGGGAAGTTGTATTTAATGAATGTTACAAATCATTTTTTCTAAATGAGAAAAACATAATTCTAATGCAAAGTTCCGAATATGCATTGAATGATGAAGACAAAAAATCAATACTTCAAAAACACGGCTTGGATAGAGATTTGTTGTCCCCTACATTACTGGGAGAAAAAGTGGATATGTTTCCGCTGTTGTGTTACTTATACTCAAAAGCGAAAAAATCTATAAAAAATGTTGGAAGGTTTTTTACCTGTCCAGTTGAATGCATTTTAGAGGAATTTGACAAAATGCAGCAACAAAAAAGATTGTGCTATGCAACACTAGTCTTATGCATGTTAAATGACAGTAAAATTTCCAAAGCAATATTGAAAAACACAGCTGAATACGTTTTCTATGAAATGAAATCAAAAGTACTAGAGAGTTGTAAGGTTGGAAGTTACACTGAGGTATTTAAATTTGTTGGCGCAATTTCAGAAATGGAAGGGACTTACTTGAAACTCTGTGGCACTGAGTATACATTTAATCATTACTCTTTGTTTGAAATCCTTGCATATCATTTTTTTTCTCAGTTTCCATGTCTGTGTTTGAAATATATGAACAGTACTTATATTGCTAAGTGCGTGAAAGTACATGAATATAAAAAAGAGTTAGGAGATGTATGTAAATTCAGTGAGAAAAAAGTATTTAGTGCTGAGAAGCATGAAGGAGAAAGAAGTGAAAGATGTCATGATTCAAGTGAACCCTGTATAAGGTTAAAAGAATTTCAGTATCCGATGTTAGCGGAGCGTTTGTACAGGGATATAGAAAATATGGAGCTGTATGATGTTTTTATGAATGATATTTTAAAACAACCTAAAGTATGTGAGGCTTTTATTGCGATGTTAAAGTCAAAATCTTACACAGAGTTGAAGTCTTTATTTCTGACAGAACAGAAAGATGTGTCTAAGGTAGTGAGTAAAGGACAGCGTGTGGCAAAAGGGAGTGAGAAGAGGGAGGAGTGGAGCAAAGACTGGAACAGACAAAGAGTTTTGGTGAATGAGAGAGGTATAATGGGAAAAAAGTACGGTGTCAGGGTTATCAGTTGGGTAGTGTATTACGGACACAATCAGATCTTAAAATATATTTTAAAGCAAACTGATTTACACAACGAAACAGATATTGAACTTTTTTCGACGTCCTTTAACCCCACACTAAGCTATAAAACAAACGAGCGAGAAAATAACATTGAAACAATTAATGCAACAGACGAATTATGTTTATCGAACTCAGTTATAAAAAAAAGGAATCAAGAACAGTACAATAGTATGTGTGTTTCCGAGAGCAACCGCTTATTTTTATTGAGTTGTTATGGTGGAGATTTAGAGACTGTAAGAATACTTATCAAGTATGTTGACATAAATGCAATAAACAGGAAACAGCAATATGATGAAACACCACTGACTGCAGCATGTGAATGTGGACATTTAAATGTAGTGAAGGAGCTACTAGAAGCCGGTGCTGATACCAATCCAGAATGCCGGAATAATACACCACTGACAGCAGCATGTGAGGGTGGACAAATGAGTGTAGTAAAGAAGCTAATAGAAGCTGGAGCTGATATCAATCCAGAAGATAAGGATACTACACCACTGATAGCAGCAACTAGGAGTGGAAATATAGATGTAGTGAAGGAATTACTAAAAGCTGGAGCTGATATCAATCCAGGAGATCGGGATACTACACCACTGATAGCAGCAAGTAGGAGTGGACATATAGATGTAGTGAAGGAATTACTAAAAGCTGGAGCTGATATCAATTCAGAAGATCAGGATACTACACCACTGATAGCAGCAAGTAGGAGTGGACATATAGATGTAGTGAGGGAATTACTAAAAGCTGGAGCTGATATCAATTCAGAAGATCAGGATACTTCACCACTGATAGCAGCAAGTAGGAGTGGACATATAGATGTAGTGAAGGAATTACTAAAAGCTGGAGCTGATATCAATTCAGAAGATCAGGATACTACACCACTGATAGCAGCAAGTAGGAGTGGATATATAGATGTAGTGAGGGAATTACTAAAAGCTGGAGCTGATATCAATCCAGGAGATCAGGATACTTCACCACTGATAGCAGCAAGTAGGAGTGGACATATAGATGTAGTGAAGGAATTACTAAAAGCTGGAGCTGATATCAATCCAGAAGATCAGGATACTACACCTCTGACAGCAGCATGTGAGGGTGGAAATATGAGTGTAGTTAAGAAACTACTAGAAGCGGGAGCTGATATCAATCCACAAGGTTGGTATAATACACCACTGACAGCAGCATGTGAGGGTGGACATATAAGTTTAGTGAGGGAGCTACTTGAAGCTGGAGCTGATATCAATCCACAAGGTCGGAATTATACTCCACTAAGAGCAGCAGTGAGTGGTGGATATATGAATCTCGCGAAGTGGCTACTGGAAGCGGGAGCTGATATCAATCTACAAGGTCGGGATTATACTCCACTAAGAGCAGCAGTGAGTGGTGGATATATGAATCTCGCGAAGGAGCTACTGGAAGCGGGAGCTGATATCAATCAACAAGGTCGAAATTATACTCTACTAAGAGCAGCAGCGAGTGGTGGATATATGAATCTCGTGAAGGGGCAACTGGAAGCGGGAGCTGATATCAATCAACAAGGTCTTGATAATACACCTCTTAGTGAGGGTGAACATATGAGTGTAGTGAAGGAACTACAGTAGTGTGTCGATGTTATCTAAGAAGGATATTAGATTTAGACATCGTTATCTAGGGAATACCGAAGGGGTGCAGAGGAAAAAGTTTTTTGATAATGGGGTTAATAGCGGCAAACAGAATGTAGTGAAGGAATTACTAAATCTGATATTTAAGTGTAGTGAAGAATCTTCTAAAGCCAGGTTGATGGTTATCTACAAGAGTTCATTAGTGCGCCACTAATAATGAAATGTGAAGGTTAATACATGTAAGTGTAAATAGTGAAAGATCCGCTCAAAGGTGCAAGGGTTCATGTTATTAAATAAACAGATTAAATTCTTTTATTTTATGCATTAAATAAATTTGAAACGCTCATTTCTCTTATACTACTTACAATAGTTACATCGCATATCTACCTGCCTGTTTATAGAAGCCCCTTATCATTTTATATTTCATTAGTGGAAACAACGTTAACGTAAACATTATTATAAAATACATGTATTGAAAGTGGAGGACTTGCTGTAGATGTACTTTTTTCCAACGGGTCATAATTCCGCGGAAACTCAATTTCTGTTTAATCCGCACGTAGAAAATTACGCGGATTTCTTAGACTGTCAATGTATGCCTTACATTTACATTTAGTGCGCTTGGACAAATTTCCGCTGAAAATGTTTGACCACGTTCATAGCGTTATATCACGCGGAAAAATGTACTTCTACTGTTTTTAAATGCTAGGTAAGTGTGATAAGGGAAAATGATGAAGACATATTAAGCATGATATGACAGAGTTGAGTTTCGTGTGTATCGGAATGATTGCACATTTAATTATGTCGAAGTAAAACGTCTGTTTCTTAAGGTTCTGTATGTCAATTTCCAGCTATAGGCATGATTAACTTTATCTCTGATTCGAATATTTAATATCTTCAGTTTACATTGATTCATGTTGGACTTGAGATTGTTTTTCCCATAAGAATAATTTTATAAAGAGTATGATAATCTTTCTGAATGGGTGGATTTATGTTATTGTTAGGCTAAGATACAAAAAAAAAGTGATTTTAAGAGTATGAAACAGTATACCTCTGTTCTAAAAAGACAAGCAGACCGTTTAGTACGTTTAGAAAAAAAAGATGATTTTCTTAACAAAAAGTGTTGTCATGCAAAAGTGTGCTGAGTGTTTAAAAGATAAAGGAGAGAAAAAGGAAACGTTTAATATTAAAAAAATATAAAAACAATACAGGTCTATGAATAGAATATAAAACACAAACCATTTGAAATTCCAGAAATGGAATCAGGGGCCTAGGAGAAGTAAACAATCCATATCGGCAAGTCCCACCTGCTGTATTGTTTTTATATTTGCCTTTGCATTCATCAGGTAGTCAAATTTGATGTAAAAAAGATGCCTTACAATTGATATGAAACATGTCGTTCCCCAAAAGAACAAATAATAGAATAAATGAGCTTTTAAAGTCACCATAAGAAGTATAAAATTTATCAAAGCTAATTGAAAAGTTTATAATTTCTTGTATCAGTAATTCCTCAGTTAATCATCTGCCTTGGTATAATGATTGATACTATTCTTCAGTATCGAATACGTTTTGAAACGTAATTATAGTGTTATGAGATATGTGCGAGACAGTGAAAGAGAGAGAGTCGTGACTCTAGAGTAGGTTATTATGATGGAGGAAATGAGCATTCAGGCTAATCTGTGTTAGACTAAGTTGGTGTGTCTCTTCCAAACAGTGCATGATAGATGTGGAACTAATTTAGAAAAAAATGGTTGATTTTAAAAGAAAAAGGTGATTGAGAGGTAGGATATGTTATGGGATTTCAACAACATCGAAATCATTGTATTTAAAATTCCTCTTGAATACAAATTATTAGTATGATTAAATGTTATCAACATTTTCCCCCGGGTATTGCCTTCTCATATTACTCGTATGAGTGAATTTTATATATTAATATTCCTATCCGGAAATTGTTTTGTATTACATGGATAATTATCAATATTCCTGTCCATGTATTGTTTTATATTACATGTAGGATTGATTGTAATGAATAGTCTTGAGAAGAGATTGGTTTTATTTTACATGTATGATGAAATGTTATCAATATTCTTGCCAGGAAATTATTTTTTTCATAATAGAAATTATCAAATGTAATCAATATTCTCGTTTTAATATTGGTTTTATATCAATTTGTATATGTACGATAAAATGTAATTACATGTAATAGTCTTGTCATGACATTGGTTTTACATGTATATCACAGGTCTGAAAAAATGTATTCGAATGCCTTGTCATGCCATTGATTTTGAATTACACTTCATCAATAGTTCTCTCACGCAGCATTAATTGTTAAGGCTGCGTAAAGGGGGGAGGAGTTATACTTGAATCCCACACAGCATGTTATTAACAAATCAATGATCGCAATTAGTTTTTGACAAGGGCATACACATAATAGATCATAACCATTTTGTTAAATATAAATAAAGGATATTTTCCTTAACTCAAAAAGTTTTACTTGATTCTTTACATAGAGAAAGTAACTGAAAAGGACATAAAATACTTGTTGGAAGTCAAATATATTTCGACTAAAGCCCAATTACTCGAAATTTTAACTAATAAAATGCGAGTTCTATTCAAAGGAGCAGAACTCTCCATAAAGAACAAGGTTTTCTGAAATCACAAATTTTCGTGCGGGGTCTTATTTTCTTTGTTTTTAAGGTTTGAAGAGATCCATGAATTTATGTATATCACGAAATGTAAAATGTTACATTACTTTTCAACAATTGTTCATCCACGAAAACAAATCCCCACGAAGCAAAGATTTTTTTCCCAAACCACGAATATTTGAGATTGAGATTGAATACTGTTCGTTATCTCCATGTCCTTCTTTGACCCAAAGAAAGTGTGAGTTTACAGTATATAAAAACAATAAATAACCGGTTTTAATTTCAAAAAGGGTATACACTTGCTACATGTTTATTAAAACATGTTTATGACCTACATTCAGTACACATGCTATGCCTTTATCACGTGACTGTCCGGGACTAAAATTTGGTACAGAGTGTGTAATGGTACGTAACGTCGATGATCATTCAATTTATAAAACAATTTTATAATAATAATTCAATTAATTAATTTCCCGGTTTTTTTTTTTGTTTTTTTTTTGCACAGCTATATTCTGTTGATTTCTGCATGGTAAGCCTTAACAGTGCTGGTCATAAGAATGGTTTCATAAATATGCTCACTAGATTTGTCAGTTACTGATTTGAATATGACAATGCACATATATGATTACACATATTTATAATGAAAAAAAACTAAAATATATAGTATGTGGAGCACGTGTAAATTATGTATATTAAATATTGAGAATGTATTTTGACAAAAAATGGTCTAACGGAAAATAATTGGAAATCATGAATCATTTTTTTATTTTTGTCATGTAAACTATGTTCATTTTATCTGGAGTTGTCTTTGTCTCAACTTTTTTTATTTTAATTTCTTTTTTTTTTTAAATATATATTTATTAATATGATAACATATTGCAAAATATATAAATACATTTCTTAAAAATTACAAAAAATAATCCTTAAAAAAGGAAAACTATTTTAGAATAAATCGTTCAAATAAAATTACATAGTAAAAGCAATTCCAAAGTTTTTTTTTTTTATCTGTGGTACATGGGTATACATTTTCAAGCGTGCTGCTATAGTTTATAATAATTATGTTTCAAACGCAATTTGTATTTTTCATTGTATGTTTAGTTACATTGTAATTTTGATCATCCTGTGTCTGTGTGGGAGATGCTTAAGAATTGTGTTTATACATACTCGTGGTAAACAATGTGTTTAATATAATTGTTTGAATTTTGAATAAACATTTTGTAAAAAATAATAAATCTTCTGTGTTCATATTGTTATGGATTGTGATAAAAATTAAATCCATTGCTCATCTAATTTGTCCCTTAAATAATTCTGTTTTAACATTGAAGAAATAATAGAATTAATATAATGTCCATTTTAATTATTTTTAACATTTTCATGAAGAATATGAAGAGAATGAACGGTAATCATGCTAAAACTCCCTAAAAACTATAAATGAAGAATAGGGAGATAACGAACAGTATTCAATATCAAAATTCATAAAAAAAAATACAGAATAGGAACAGAGCAAACACAGACTTCAAAAAACATTAGAAGTGGGATCAGGTGCCATGGAGATTAAGCATTCTAACCAACCTGTCACACCCACCGTGTGCTCCTTTTTTTTTATAATCAGTAAGTAATTGTGAAAGTATTTGTATAATAGTTTGGATCTCGATAACATGTGCACATACTATTTTGGAATACTTAAAAGGTACAGATAATTAAACTGTGTCCTTTATTCAACATTTATTTCTTCCAAATACCTGACTTAAGTTTGCAGGTGTCTATTATCTTTGAATATAAAGGCCATATCATTTCATAGTGTTTTTATAAAACGAATAGTGGTTCATATATTTATATATTAAAGAAGTTTTGTCTTTATTGTAGAATTACCTTTTCCGCATAGAATTGGGTTGGTAAGCTGTCATAAATTTTTCACGTGAATTATATATCAGGCAAACAGAGGTAATCTTAAAAAAATTCTGTTAATGCTTAACTGCGGATTGAACCGTTTAAAAGTGATTCTATGACTTTATGTTCCACTGGAAAGAAATTCGTCTACCTTTCATCAGCATTGTCATTAATACGCAGGTATGTTGTGGCTTCGACAAATATTCTACTTGCCCATACAATATGACGTAATTATCATAGTAAGCTATATGACATGAGGTTCAATAATAACAATTTCTAAAAATCTATATTCAAAGATCGATTTAATGAAACCTGTAAAAGCCTAACATAGACAACATCTTGGCATTTTGGGGTGGTAAATAAATATCTATGTTTTTGTCGAGGATGTTAAATACCAAACCCATGACGTCATAGATATTGATCAGTATTAGCAGAGTGAAAGTGAAGGAGATTTCATGTAAACAAACA